GCTCATATTTGGAGAGATTTTTCTAGAGGTGTCTAGCAACCTATTTTTCAGAGTATAAAGTAAAAAAATAGTCGATTTTTTTGACCCACCCTGATACATCTGCACATAAACGTAAACAGATCTAATCGATCTGTTTTTCATCTTCACACACCCAAGAGGAAACCTCGAATAGTAGATGGGAAAAAGTAGTGGATGTAACGGTCTGTTGGAAGGACATACTTATCTAATTAAACTCATTTACATTAAGCCTATAATTACTTTTTCCTGAACACATATTAGGCACTAATTATAATAATTTGGTAACAACCTGCTATCAAAGGATTAGAGAATTTGAACGGAACATTCCAAAATTAACTAGCTAAATACACCAATTAAACGATAAGGGGATATTTTCGAGATAGCCGCGAATTCCAAAACAAATGAAAGTAGAACGTTGATGAGTGGTACATATTTGAATGTTATTATTACTATTATAAAAGAGATAAGTATTAATAAAGCATGGAAATATAACTACTAAACAAAAAAATACATTTTTTCTAAGCACTTAAAAATTAATGGTAATCTGTCACATATTTAGAAACTATTGTTATACTTGTGATATCTTTCGAAACCACGATTCTTTTTACGTAGATAACTATTGTTATTTTGAAAAAAGTTGCATCTGAGATAGATTGGTATTATATCTCGAAATATATTAATTAGATTAAATTTTGTTGTTTAATATGTACAATATGATTTATATTCAGTTAAATAATTAGTACATTGTATAATAATTACTTCCTTTCTCCAGTATATTATTAGATTTATCGCAACTACAGCAGTTTTTATATTAATACTCCATACGTCAAGTGTTTCAATAAACGAAGATAAAAATACGTACTTTCCATTTATTCTACGAAATTATCCTTCCTTATGCGTCTGACTCACAAGGACAAAATCTTGAAAATCTAGTTAGGCATTTTGTCCATGTATGGATGGACATAAACATTTGCCATAACAATAACAAGATGAATCACACAATTACATTTTAAAAATAGTTTCGGATCATAGTTGTCCGTGTGTGTGATTTAAAACAAGACAAAAGAATACTTAAAAGGATATTGAAGATTCCTGTCTTTAGGTTTCTAGTAGTGTGCTACTATATTTGTAAAAATGTACGTATACTCTTCCTTTCGCGATCTGGATAAGAGAGTACATATTTGTTCGTGTATTTTTCAAAACACTCAGACATACTCTTTCTGTATATGTGTTTAAAGTAAAAGTAATAACATGTCGAGTTAAAATAACAAACAAGAGAAAGTATGCTCAGGTATGTGGTGCGCTTTGAATCTCCAAGGATAAGTGAATAATTGATAATTATATGCTATTCTATTGAAAAATTACGTATAATGATAGAGAAATATGATATAATGGGTTATTTTTTTAACAAAAAAGAGAAATTGGAAAATATTTTGTTCAAGTTATTGTGTGTCAAGTAAGTCACAGTAATTTTGTAATATACAGGGTGATTTGACTCTAAATTAAAAAATTCCACGAAACTTCGTGAAATTTGCTGATATTTCCATATCTATAAAAATCTCCAGAAAATTGTAGGTTTTCCATATTGGTATACTGGTAAGAGCATATAGCTCTGAAATAAAAAGCAGTTTTTGCTCTGAGCTCTGTTTTTCAGTTTCATTGAAAAATAATTTTAAATGTTGTATTTAACATTTTTTCCTTGTTTACTAATGCAAACATTAGCATTTTGTATCTTGTTGCTTTAAATAAAATATTATATTCACCTGTTCTTAATTTGTGCTCGAGCATTTCAGCAAAATATACAGGGTGTCCCAATGTTAGCGTACAAAAATTTACCAGGGGGTAGACCAGACCAAAAAAAGATGCACACTTCACCCAAAAATTATTAAATCCCTGAAAGGGTTTTTGAGTTATTGCGGAAAGTTGTTGTTATTTTTTTCTAAACAACACCCTGTAACTCAGTGAGAGTGCATCGCAGAAAAATATTTTATATGAATTTTATCCTTATTTTGGTCTGGACTACCCTCTGGTAAATTTTTGTACGTAAGTATTTTCTCGAGTGTTTTTATTTCGAATTTGTTCCGAATAGTTAAGTTTCTAGTATTAAAATTTGAGTTATTTATTATTTTATTCAAATTATTTTTCTATTACTCTATTTTAAATAATATAACTTCACTAATATATTGTCATCCTGAAGAACGATAATCTAAAACACTCATTCGACATACTTTTAGACCGTGCAAATCGTTGTATGGAGTCCGAAGGGAATTAGTTTGAATAAAAGAAACCGGTTTTGCCAAAAAAACGTTTTATTGTTCCTATTTTTAAAAGGTTTCCTTTACATTGGAACGCATCTAGTATGTTAGGCCTCTGTTACCATTTTTATTGCAATTTTTAACAAAAATCTGTAGCTACTTATATTTTTAACTTTGTGTGAGAGTATCGTGTCTGTCGCTGTCAAAAGAATCACCCTGTACATAACGTATTTACTGACCTACGAAATCTCTCCGGTCTTCAGCAATGCTAGCCCCAGGGCCAGACTTCCAAATAAATCGCGGTGGGCCACGGCTACTCCTCGCATGTCATATTTTCACCGGTGACTCAATACACACGGAATGCCACGCTAATATCGAAGAAATTAATCGAAAGGACTGCCCGTGACTGCGGGTTTCTTGCATTCAGTAATTGTTACTTTCATTTCTCCAAATTTCTATCAGGATTCTTATTGTCAGCGGAGGTTTATTATCCCCAATAAAGAGGCGTATGGGGTCTTTTTATCTCAGTGTGCGTTGGTTTGTTCTTTGTTTCACAGATCACTCTGCTTCCCAGTCTCAGAATTGAATAAACATTTGTTTAATTAAGAAGCTGCATCACAATTTGGTTAATACCCTTTAGTAGTGTTTATTTAACTGTTCAAAATCAAAACATTATTTTTGGACATTAAAAAATAAGTTATAGCTTCAAAGATTTTGTCTGCTTGCTGCTTTTTTTAAGTCTCATATAGCCTTGGTGGGAACAACAATTAATTAATCTATTTAGTTGGTTAAGGACAATTTATAGTTTCAGACGTTTTGATTACTCTGAAATATATCTCCTTTCTTCATTTAAAGTCTCACCTAGCCTTGATGGAGACAAAAATTAATCTAGATTGTGTAGCAAAAGACATAAATATTGTGCAGGGATAATTTACTCGTAATTAAAAAAAAATAATACGTCTTCGGACACGTAATTTATGACCCAACCTGATGGAAAAAATGACAACATGGGAAAGCTCGCAAATGGGACGGGGTTGGTATCTAAGAAAGATAAATTATCGGTAATAGCTTCGATTTAAAACTAATAACAGGGAATGATGAACGAGCCTCGGTTATGCCAATTGGCTAACGTAAATTAAACTTGATTTTTTTGTCCGACGATGAGTTCTTAACTGAATATCGAAATGGCCTGTCGTTAGCTACTATAATTGAAGGCATTTTAAAACTCTAGATAGAAGATTTTTACACAGAGTAACTTTTGTTTATTTATTTACCCAGACAATGACAAACACTAATAACCAAGTCATTGTAGCTTGTAGTTAGGATTAGTGTAAAAAATATGACTATAAATGCGTTGTTGGCCGAGAAAATGGTTTGTAGTCAAAATTACGTTTGGAAATTACACTCAAGACAGTCTTAAACTATATACTCTACGTTAGATACTTTAAAATAACAAATGGAAATTATGATATTTATGAATACAGCGCCTTGATCCGTTTGAACTTTAACTGAATGGCATTAAAAAAGTGGTAAAAAAAGCACGGCATATATTGTCGTCCACTTAAAAAAGAACATTTGTGACTTAGCAGCTTTTTAGATGTCAGCAATAATATTCACTAACCTGTTTTTTAAACAAGGTAGTAGCCTATATATAGGCAATTCATACTCTTATCAATTGCGTACCGATCTTTTAATGTATGTAAATCTGGATAATCTAGAGATTCTGGAATTATCAGGGAATTTCATCTGGAAGTGTCTGGAAAATATCAGCAAATTTCTAAAATTTCCTATGAATCTTTTTAAATTCTAATTATAATCAATGAGGTGCTGCCACGTCCTGTATCTATACCATCTATGTCGTATGTTTATTGGTTAACTGTGATTAAGAATTAGTTTATGCTATTTTGGTTTATTTTATCCTTAGTGATCCATATTCCATCATAACTACATAGGGATCTTACAGACTATTAGATGCGAGTATGTAGATAGCCTTAAGTGGACAAAGTGCAGATTTAATAGTTATCAAAATATCACTAAAAAATTCAGAAATTAGCTGTAATAGCATTTGGTCCANCCATCTATGTCGTATGTTTATTGGTTAACTGTGATTAAGAATTAGTTTATGCTATTTTGGTTTATTTTATCCTTAGTGATCCATATTCCATCATAACTACATAGGGATCTTACAGACTATTAGATGCGAATATGTAGATAGCCTTAAGTGGACAAAGTGCAGATTTAATAGTTATCAAAATATCATTAAAAAATTCAGAAATTAGCTGTAATAGCATTTGGTCCATTTGAATTCTGTACTACTTTGTTTATGTAAGCTTTTCAGTACCTCTAATAGTTTCTTAGATTTCTGTAGTGATAGTCAAATTTAGTTCACTCTGTATATAAATATATTGACTGCTTAAAAGTTAACACTCAGTGGGAAAACTTTTTTCCCGATTTAAGATATAATATGTCTGATATAGAGCTTATATTTTTACAAAACGGATTTATTTTTAAATCTACCTAAAAACCTGGAAATATCAAAGAAATTATTGGTCAAAAGTTAGTATACACTCTTTGTATGGGCACGATGTGACATTTTTTTATTCCTGATGTTTTATTCCTGTAATTAAGACTGTGTAATATATAAAGTCTATAATGTAGAAAAAAATAGAAAACATAATTCTCTGCACGTAGTGTTTCATAGCCTCACGTATATATTTTTTGTTCTAGGATGACGAACCACCCGAAATCACTTATTGTGTTGTCGAGAACACAGGAACCCTCACCCTGCAAGCCATCACCCCCACGCAACCGATGCCTTCTCAGGAAGAACTGGATACCAAATTTGCCGAACTCGTGGTATGTTGTTTCATACCAAAAAATCCGAAAATATCTCGTTTGAAAGAACTAGATGAATTGAAAAACCTAATAAGATTAAGTCTGAACGTGTAGCACATCCTTTATATTCCCAAATTAAAGAAACTAAGCTAAATAACAACTATTATCATTGTGGTAGCTTTATTTGTAACGGAAATGCAATAAAAAAATCACGAGACAACTTTATTACCACCAACATGCACAGAGATGGCTGAGCTGGTAAATACTTTCATTGCCTATGTTAGCTCTTTTATATTCTTATCTTTCTGATAGACATCGATATGTATGCTTTAAAGGTTTCTCATTGCGCAGTTTTTCAGTCATGTCCGGTGTTCCTCAGGGATCTGTCCTAGATTCATTGTTATTTAATATTTTCATTAATAACCTTGTTAGCTGTTTGAATGTATTAAATATTAAATAGTAGCTACTTAACTTTGTGTGCATAATCTTTTACTAGTACTAGGAAGTAAAACGAAAATCTTCAATAAATACTATTAGCAATTAGAAAAAAATAAGGTTAAGGCGTTAACCAGTCTTTGAGCATGGAAGATAATCATGTTATTTTTCATTTAGACGCTCTTTTTCAAGATTTTTCAGGATGTCAAATTTAAACTTTAAAAAAGATTTGTGTTAATAACTCCGTTGTTTTATAAAGAAATGTTTAACTCGGCTGAAATTTGACGCATTTGGACTTATATTCTAAAACCGTCACAATTTTGTAATTTTTTTTTCATTCTTGTAAAATTTTGATGAAGGTCTTGGTTATTAAACATTGCGATTTTTTATAATATGACTTAGAAGTTGTTTTTATCTATTTTAAAAAATGCGTATTATGAGTCCACAATTGTTATTATCATGGTCCAAAATTTCCAAAAAACTATAAGTACTACAGACAAAAAAGTAAAAAAAAATCAGAAAATCGAATTTTTTTTTCAAATTGTTTATTAACGATTATTTTGCATAAAACTTTCCTTTTAAATTTTTTAAATAAGCTATTTCGATGCGAAATTGAATTCTCTAAATAATTTTTCCTATGAACTACAGCGAAACTTTGCTTCGTTTTCGAGCTACAATTAAAAAACTGAAAGGGGTGCATTTTCACGCCTATCTCCAATTTCCACCCTCCAATTAATAGCACTCCGCGGTTTTTTTATTCTTGATAACCATTTGAACGGTTCATGCAATATAAACCCATCAACGTTGTAGTTCCATACCATATGACATAATCAATAGCCTACACGAAGATAATAATAAATTTCCTTTTTTTATTTTAATATTATCATCCTGGAGGCGCCTAACTGCAAAATGGCGTAAGCAAAGTTCCAATTTATTTTTCTAAATTACCTATCGTTAATGGCTTGACTTGAGTTTTTTGTAACACCCAAATTAAAAATAGAAGCTAAATAACCAGTATGTATCAAGCTGGCATTATAAATACAGTGTGAAACATTATTTGTGAAGAAATGCTCTAAAATCAATCAAGCGCCAACTTTCCTATCACCAATAAAACCAGAGAGACTGAACCGTAAAACTGTAGCTCCTATACCTGTCTTTATTCCAAAATTAGTAGTGTTTCAAAGACAATCCTTAACATCTCTCCTGTAGATAACTAAATCACCCCGTATATGGAAGTGAACGACTTATCAAACGCAACTCATTTGAGAACGGGGAACTATATTAAATCAGCAATAACGCGGCGGTTCGGGCAGTTATTAATTTTAATATGCGTTTCTGGTGAAACAACTGTAATATTGGCGCGGCCTTCAAAATAATGCAGAAACGCCGCTCGGCCTTCCGTCGGTACCGCAAAGTGAATGCAATTCGTAGTATTCCCTGGCACGTAGTATTCTCACACGTGATCCCGTAACGGTCCCGCGGCTGCGGCAATAATTAATAAAATAAAAACGAAAGTAGTTAATCCCAATGGCGTTATTTATCGTCTAACGGTATGGCAGCGTTCGCGACGATGCGATCGCTGCTTTAATGCAACTATTTATTAAAACTGTATCCGGAAATTGCCGTGGTTAAGCGATTTTCTTGTGTATGTGCTTGAGCGATGAAAAAGTTGTTGCACTTTAGAATAGCACCAGGTGTATCCGTATTATACAGCGTAATGTCGTCTTTCATCATTTTTATTTTTCTGTCGTGGATCCCCATAGATTGTCTGCAGTGCTGGGACTCTTGTCTCCTATTCGCTTGCAAAGAGGCAAACGGGTTGTTCGGATGCCTCCCTCATCACGCCAACCTCAACGGACGCTTCGGACTGTTGACGTCGCGCTGGTCTATTGTCCTCCATCGATGAGGTATATTCCGGAAAATATGTGAAATGATCTAATTTATTTTGTTCCCTTCTTCCACTTTGGTACACCCTCGGGATGGTACTACACGTACTGGTCAGTTCCGATCCTGGTTAATGAGCTGCAAGGCTCAGGGCCGACGTTCGATCACAGTCATTGACTGATCCGCAGAGATCCTGTAGTGAAATGCGCCTTAGGTTTGGACAATTGGCCTCTCCGTATTTTACTCATCGAAACTGAATTGAATTTGATGAGAGCATTTTATGAATACATATTTATTTAAAAATGAATTATTTGAAATTCATTTCTAAAAATGTTTTAATACCATGTATTTAGTACTGAATTTCGGACCAAAAAATCCTATACATTTTTTATTAAATGAATAGTTTTAGAGTTATTTTAAATTTATTTAACTATGGGATAAGCTTATTTTAAATTTAAAAAAAATTTCTAAATACTCAGACGCGAAAATCTTAATGATGGTTGGTGTATTTATAAACTAATTTAATGGACTTTTACCTTTAATTGAGTACCTAAATTATTAACCCCATGTACATCAATCTAAGCCATCTTTAGAAGTTTTTGAAGATCGGAATAATATCGAAATATACTTGAATCTGGTGGCTTGGCTCATTAAGGATTTTTACTCTAAAATAATCTAATGAACAGTCCCCCGAATTTACGATATAAATCGAAAAGAACAAAAATAAGTTTAAATTTAATAACAACTTTTGTGTATGTTTACTCATTCTGTATACTGGGTATCAAAGGTTCAAAAATTAGTATAGTCTTTCCGATCTCAATTGAAGACCAAAGAGCTAAGCAGTATGTACCAGGTTCGGACGCTACACAGCAACTCGACATTGAAATATTTGAAAAACTTGTTCCCATATTTATTTAACCATACCCATATACATGTGTGGTCAAGCTAAACGCGCAGGTGGTAGAAATGTATACGACCAGTTGAAGACTGCGCGCGCGGACAAACGCCGCATTTGGTGACTGGGCCATAAATTCCATTTGTTGACAAATTGCCTAGCAGTGTAGTGCAGCAATGCGGATTATTTTTATTTAATAACTTTTCTAACCTAAACTAACAACCTTTCCTCATCCTTTCCTGGCAAGGATATCTTCTTACTTATTATTATTGTTTACCTTTAGCAGAAAACTTTTTAAAGAACGCCTATGAAAGTCATTCAATTTTATTGCTAGGCGTTTTTATATATGTTCAACCGTTCGGAAAGACTATACCACTCTGTATTCTTTGTCACTTGAATATGAGAATCCACTACTCGTGCACCTGTTATTTTTCAAACCTCTTTTCACACATCGCGATCCGATACAGAAAACCATTCTGCAACCGATGTTTATAACGTCTAGCATCGCTGATTTCTAACAGATTTCTGTTAAGGAAATATTCACTCGTATTATAAAAATTAAATTGAATCGTTTGTTTCGCCGCTTCGACTGTCGTGCTTCCTCATGTGAGAAGATTACATGCTGCAGATAAATGAAATAATTTATTATATAAGAAAACTATCGGTTACTAACCATCTTTCAGCGATATGGTCGGTAATTGCTTTCGCGAGCTTTTATCGCGTTAAAAATATGTTTTATAAGCAAATATATGTATGTAATGATTTTCTCTGATTCTTCCGTTCGATTGTATTATTTTACCACGTTCTGGAAAAGTTAAGAAAGCCGACAGGAAAACGATCTCATTTCTTTTCTCATGTCAATATTTAACACAGAACGGTTAACTTTAATTGATTGAAATATATTTCTCTCTGTAAACATATACCTGAACTTAAGAATATTAGTAAAATGTTTATCTTATTTCGTTTTAAGGAAATGAAATGAGGATGTAGTCACACATCGTTTTATTCTTTATTTGAACGAAATATTGCGTTTATTGAAACTCAACAAGAGTTCTCATGAGTTTTCTCTAAATATCAAATAATGATCGTCTTTATAATAGTAACGTAAATGACAGTAAAATCAATACTCTTCACTATTTTTAGGAATTTTTTAGAACTTTTTCAGCACAACTGTTTTGTTTTGTCAATCAAAATGGAAGGCTTCCTGTTTTTCTCTAATTTTAGTTGTAGGGTTTATAGAGATGATTGTCCCTTAATGACAGGTATAGCCAAGCCTTTAATTTTAGTATTTGGTTTGATAAATCTACGGGGTGTCTCATAATTAGCTGCCAACCCTGAACAGGCCGATTCTATGATCAAAACTAAGTAAAAAAGTTCATATGAACATGGGTCCGGAAATGCTTCCTAAGGGCACAGGGACCCATTGAAGAGGGAGGAATGGAAATCATTTTTTTGCAATATCTCTCAATCGCGTTGTGATAAATGAATGAAATTTGGTATACACAGCTAAATTTTGATGAGCAATTTGATGGACTAATCCATTTATTTCCACAAGGTCCATTGGGGTGGGTACGGGGGGGCCCTTGGTACTTTGCGTGTGTAACTTTTTCATCTTTGACTTTTTAACAAATTGGACAGCAAATTCCGTTTTCCCGAACTGTTTTACGTTAAAAAGGTACTCTTGTTTCAAATCGTTATCTTTAACGGTTTCTGAGAAAATCGCTCTTGAATTAATCCCACTTTGGTCAATTTCATAGTAATTTAAACAAAAAAAAATTTTTTGTTTAAATTTAATCTAATTTTAATAAAAAAATAATAATAAAAAATTAAATTAAATAAAAATTAATCCTTTAAATGGAAAAGAGAGGAAAGGAAAATTATTATTATTATTTTTTGTTTAAATTACTATGAAATTGACCAAAGTGGGATTAATTCAAGAGCGATTTTCTCAGAAACCGTTAAAGATAACGATTTGAAACAAGAGTACCTTTTTAACGTAAAACAGTTCGGGAAAACGGAATTTGCTGTCCAATTTGTTAAAAAGTCAAAGATGAAAAAGTTACACACGCAAAGTACCAAGGGCCCCCCCGTACCCACCCCAATGGACCTTGTGGAAATAAATGGATTAGTCCATCAAATTGCTCATCAAAATTTAGCTGTGTATACCAAATTTCATTCATTTATCACAACGCGATTGAGAGATATTGCAAAAAAATGATTTCCATTCCTCCCTCTTCAATGGGTCCCTGTGCCCTTAGGAAGCATTTCCGGACCCATGTTCATATGAACTTTTTTACTTAGTTTTGATCATAGAATCGGCCTGTTCAGGGTTGGCAGCTAATTATGAGACACCCTGTATATTAAAAAATTTCAAATTAGTGTAGTATGTTGTGTTGTTTTTTTTGTTGCATTTTTAACATTACTGTTTTTACTTTTTTTATGTTTTATTTGTTTTAAACAAACTTAAATTACTAAGTTTCTTTTAAAAATCGTAAGGTAACTTAAACATATTAATTTTTTTATATATTATCAAATAAAACAAAACAAGAACCTCCGTTACCAGAAATTTAGGTATGCAAAATATACCTAACCCCGCAAGAAACTCTATAAACTATATACACCAACTAATAATAAATGAATTATTACGATAAGTTAAAGAACGTTTTGAAAATAATTTAAAGACAGCATAACAGGTCCTGTTGTTTCGCAGGAAGAGCTCGACTTGACTGCTCCCAACAAGGCGGCCATGATGAGCCTTCCTCCACAGAAGAAGTGGCAGATATATTGCTCAAGGAAAGGCGGAGAAGATACAGTGGACCAAACCCACGCCCCGGAACATTACGTGGAAAGACTCCGGACTTTGGCAACTGTAAGCTCGTTCAAAACTAAACCGCCCCAGTGTCCCTGAACATTTTTTTCTTCCAGTTGCAGTACCCGGAGTCGAACGCTGAGGAGGAAGTCAGATCTAGGACGAAACAAATCGACGGCTTAAAGACGGCGCTGAGAACATCCACGCACAGTTTTGTGATAAAGTTCATCGAATTAGATGGCCTTACAGCCCTACTGGTCTGCCTGGAGAGGATGGACTACTTCACGGCTCAAAGCTCCATCCACACCAGCATCATAGGGTGCTTCAAAGCTCTTATGAATAATTCTGTAAGTGTAGAATTTATTGCATGTTACTTTGGACTACATATTGCTCTTTTTTAGACTGGCAGGGCACACGTCCTAGCACATCCCACTAGCATAAATACTATAGCTCAGTCCTTAAGTGCAGAAAACATAAAAACGAAAATCGCTGCCTTAGAAATCTTGGGAGCGGTCTGTTTGGTGTCTGGAGGTCACAAGAAGGTCCTGGACGCCATGTTGCACTACCAGAAATACGCTTTTGAGAGAACACGGTTTCAAGGCATTATAAATGACCTAGACAGGTCTACAGGTACTTTGTTCAGTAATTTAAACCTGCGAGTATTCAACAACTTATATTTCAGGCGTCTACAGGGATGAAGTGAATCTCAAAACAGCTATAATGTCTTTCGTCAACGCTGTACTAAACTACGGCCAAGGTCAGGAAAATTTGGAGTTCAGGTTACACCTCCGATACGAGTTCCTCATGCTGGGCATACAGCCCATAATAGACAAGCTCCGAGGCCACGAGAACGAAACACTGAACAGGCACTTGGACTTCTTCGAAATGGTCAGAAACGAGGATGAAAAGGAACTGGCGAGGAAGTTCGAACAAGATCACATCGACACAAAGAGTGCCACGGCGATGTTCGACCTGCTAAGAAGAAAACTGTCCCATACAGCAGCGTACCCCCACCTGCTGTCTCTTCTGCAGCATTGCATCCTACTACCCTTAGATTACGGCTCCCATCCCCAGCATTGGCTGTTATTCGATAGGATAGCGCAACAGGTGGTGTTGCAACACAGTGGAGATAGTAAACCTAAGGATCCAGACGTCTCTCCTATCAGTATCAATGTGAAAGAGGTCGTTCATCTGCTAGCCAAAGAAGAAGAATTGGTAGCCGCCAGGAAGAAAGCTGAAGAGTTAGAGAAGGAAAACGTTGATATGTCGAACAGGCTGGCAAAGAAGGAACAAGAACTGGATCAGAGGACTCAGGAGAAGGAAGATATAGAGACTAGTTTGTCCAGGATTAAGGAAAGATTAGAAAAGGAGACTAGTTCCCATATAGAAACAAGGCAAAGGTAAGTGTAGAGAACGATCGCATTTTAAAACCATCTAACTCTATTGATTTCTGCCCTAGATTGAACGAGCTGGAGTACCTCGCCGCCGACCTAGACCGCCAGGTCAATTGCGAACGCGGCGAACGGCACCGGCTAGAGCGCCTGGTCAGCTCGGGTTCTCTACCGGATGACGCCAAAGCTATGGGCCTCAACAAGAGCCTAGAAACCAACCCTGTGGAATGCAGGAACGACTTCGTGTGCGCCCCGCCACCTCCACCTCCCTTAGCACCACCTCCACCGCCTCTCGCCCCACCCGGACCACCCCCACCCCCGTGCGCGCCCTTGGCGCCTCCCACCGAATCGTTCAAGGTCGAACAAGTGAAGAAGAAGAACATTCCTCAGCCGTCCAATCCCCTTAAGAGCTTTAACTGGTCCAAGTTGCCCGATACCAAGTTGAACGGTACCATTTGGAGTGAATTGGATGATACGAAACTGTACACCACCATGGAGTTGGACAGTATTGATAAATTGTTCAGCGCGTACCAAAAGAACGGAGTTGCTGTAAGTCAGACAAAAGTTGAAATTAATTTTTCTAAACTCTGCTGTTTCAGAATGAAGGGTCTATAGAAGATCTCAGACAGCTGGGAAAGAGCCGTACCAAAGTTTTATCGGTCATCGACGGTCGTAGGGCACAGAACTGCACGATCCTCTTGTCGAAATTAAAGATGTCCGATGAGGACATTACAAAAGCCATCTTGAGTATGGATAATAAGGAGCAGTTACCAATAGATATGGTGGAGCAGTTATTGAAGTTCACTCCTAGTCCGGAAGAGGCTGCTTTACTCGAGGAGCACAGTGATGAGATCGACTCTTTGGCGAGAGCGGATCGGTTCCTTTACGAAATATCCAAGTATGTGCGAATATATTACACTTTATTCAAGAGATCCAAAATAATAGGCTGTAATTTCTAAAATTAGCGAATACGTTGGCTACGTACCATAATAAAAAAAATAAAAGTGTACACGGTGTTAGGACGCCTTTGCCTACGAGAATTGCTGAATGCATTCTTTAGGACAAATAACCTGTTGAATATTTAGATATACTGTAGTTGCAATTATTTTTCAATTCATGTTTATTTCAGGGTTCCCCATTATGAGCAACGTTTGCGTAGCCTTCACTACAAGAAGCGTTTCCAAGTCACCCTCAACGAGATTCTGCCGAGGATCACAAGCGTCATGGAAGCTTCCCGGGAGGTGTCAAGATCTCGAAGGTTAAGAAGGCTCTTGGAAATAGTCCTCGCTCTGGGCAATTACATGAACAGAGGAGCTAGAGGTAACGCTTCTGGATTCAGATTGACTTCCCTCAACAGGCTGGCCGATACCAAATCCAGCGCTGCCAAGGGAACCACCCTTCTTCACTACCTCGTGCAGATCCTTGAAAAGAAAGTAAGTTAAGTCTTGTTTCTGTGCCGATTTCTCTTGACTTCACTTTATTTTCAGTTTAAAGACATTCTTCGTCTCGACGAGGATCTGCCTCATATCCGGGAAGCCGCCAAAGTGTCTCTTGGTGAGCTGAACAAAGACATGGCCCAGCTCAGGGTGGGACTGAAGGACGTGGCAAGGGAGATCGAGTTTCACCGCAGCCAGAGCCCTCTGGCGAACGACAAGTTTGTGCCTGTTATGAGGGAGTTCCAAGCAACGGCCACTTGCAGACTAGCAGAAGTCGAAGACCAGTATCAAGACATGAAGGTAAGAAACAAGTGGAAACTTGGATCTGAGTTGAGAGGTTTACTGTTTTCATTTTCAGACGCGTTTCGAGAGAGCCGTCCGCCTCTTCGGGGAAGACACGACGAACGCCCAGCCGGATGAATTCTTCGGAATCTTCGACGCCTTTCTCAGCGCCCTGATGGAAGCGCGCCAGGACAACGAGAACATGCGACGAAGACAGGAAGAAGAGGAAAAGCGCGCGAAACAAGAAGCGGACCTGAAAAAATTGACATTGGAGAGGAAGCACAGCCGGGAAGGCATTTTGTCGTCGATTAACAAGAGTTTGAGTTTGAAAAATGGAGAGAAGAACGGCGATAAAGGCGAGTTCGACGATCTGATTTCGGCTCTGAGGACCGGCGACGTTTTCGGGGAAGATATGGCCAAGTTCAAGAGGTCGAGGAAGAGCCGGATTGGTACTGGGACCTCCCCGCCGAGAAGGAACTCCGCCAACAGGGAGGACAGCAGAGAACGCATAGTTACCACCAACAGGAGACAGTGATTTCGTTTTAAGAGACAGTAAGTTTTTATCACACAGACTTTTTTATTTTGTGGATCAACTTTCGGACCAAACCGTTAGCAATAACATTGCTAATCGCCACCATTTTTTACATAATATCATTTTAACTGCCAAAAATGCTTTTTAGATAAATTGTAGTATGAGAGAGGTCCGTTTGTATTTCACGAACCCCTTGATTGTGGAAAGTAGCCTTAAACCATCCGCCTTACGGCGGTGGACATTTTAGGATAAACTTTTATAAATTGCGCCTAGTATTATATGTAAATGTACCATATTAACGATCATATTTATTAAGATTTTCTACGATTGCCACGTGCTTTGAAATCGTGAACGATCGAGGGACAAATGCAGCCACCAAAGATTACGTAATACTTCAGTTTCAAATTATACGTTAATTTAAAACAATGTTCGGAGAATTTGTGTCAAAATTTATAGACTTGTTTATGATTTCAAAGCACTGGAATGTAATTATGAAACATATATGTTTGTAAAATGTAGCTACGTAGATTTAATGTTTATATACTTTTGAACCTAGAACGATTGTGCTATGCATTGAAATGGAACTGATATATACATTTTAATGTTGAATATATTATTGTTAATTTATTTAAACTCTTGTTTTATTTCGACAAATTTTTCAATCCATGTGGCGCCCAACGTGGAGCTTATTAAAAGTGCCTTTAAAATTTTCTGCACTGATTTCGATGATTTTTCTCTAAAATGCCGATTACGTGGAAGAACGTATTACAAAATACCAATTTACATTGATATAATCAAAATAATAAAACTGGAAAACAATTCTGTCATTTTTTTCAATTACGAAGGGGTTTTTGAAATTTTTTATAACGAATTTGAGAGTTTTTCCAAGAAGGTTGATAACACGAAAGAACATACCATTTACACTTACCTGAACTGGAAAATAGAATAAAATTTTCTGCCCGGAATTCGACCATTTTTCTTAGAATGCCGTTGACAAGGGATAACCTATTACAAAATACCAACAAGTCACCTCATCTGTTTTTTAAGTAATACATTTTTTTCAATATTCCCTTTATTATTATTAAAAATATCAAAATAAGTAATAAATATAATAAATAAAAAAAGTATTAAAAAAATTAAAATGATAACAGAGCTTTGCACTGATATAATCTGAAAAATAAAACTGAAAATATGAATCTGTCCCTTTCAATAGAATTGGCGCCCAATGTGGGGCACTTTAAAACGTTTTATTACAAATTTAATCATTTTCCACGAAAATCGATAACACTAAAGAACGTACCATATACCCATAAATAATAATTTATTTAAATATGTTTCTTTGTTCATACAACGTACACCTATATAGGTATAAAAATATTAAGACTACTTCTAATATGTGGGGCTTTTTAAAATGTTTTTTACCGAATTTGATAATTTTTCCAAGAATGGCTAATGTCTTGATTGATAGGGATCGTGAATTTTAAACATGCTTAAACTGAAAATTAAAAAAATAACACTTGTTTTATTTTGACGACTTCTCAGGTCAAATTGGCGCCCAATGTGGGGCTTACTAAAAAACAACATAATGTACCAATCAACGCATTCGCCAGATTTTTATAAATGTATTTTTTTAATACTTTTCTCCATATATGAGTGACAAAAAATGTTACTAAAACTACTAGAGATGTAATAAAACTGCAGAATATAAATCTCTGAAATAAAATATATTTCACACCTCAGTACAACAATTAAAAATATAACACTATACATTAAATTGGCATGAAAAAATATAGGCAAGTGTAAAGTATTTTCAATACTGATCACAAATAAAATAAGTACCTAAAAACGTACATTTTAGACTCACCCTCAGTGATATGAGATAATACTTACGAGGAATATATTACAAATGATATGTACATAAATATACATAAATAAAATCTACAATAAATAGCGAAATTACAAAATTGTACGAAAATAAGTCGAATTTGTAAATACGGACAATCGTTAAAATAAAACAATAACACAGCCTCTAAAAGAGACCCAGCAACAAGCACACTATAGAACTAACATTTATGAATCACAAAATAGAATAGGAATAACAGAGTCGATCTTAATTTTTTTATCATGCAAATCAAATCAGGATTCCAAAGCAACTCAGAGAGGTCTTCGTTGAAAACACAGAGGAGAGCAATATTATACTGCCCTCTTTAGTGGCAATACAATACTTTAAATTATTACTTGGAAACATTTTTAAAGCTTTTGATACAGGAAAATCTCCAATAATGGTACATATCTTCAAGAATTATATCCTAATTCATTTAAAAGCCTTACATTCAGCAAACATAACCTAAATTAGAACAACATATGTATTTGGTTGTATAAGCAGATGATTACTTCTACACGAGATGTAACCCTATGATCCAAGGACCAAAATACATTCATTTATTTATTATAAAACATCTACATAAGTATATCGATTGTCTAATTCAATGTTTAGTTTAACTTGTAACCTTGATTTTTGGTCCTAGGAATCACCAAAGAAACTCACATCTCTTGTCACACCCTCCGCGCGATCATCTTATGATCTTACAACGTTATTGTCATCGTTAATATTGTCAGGAAATTAGAAAATGACATTTAACCCCACGAAAATAATTACATTTGCTGTTCGGGGTACAATATATTCAGCAAACTCACGTACGAACCCACTAAGAAGCCTACGAAACCAAAAAGGATAATAAAAATATCCTTCCACAATATCCACTTATTCCTACCAAGATCGTCAGGCCAAAACGTGACGATTTCGATAAGAGGCGGGAAAATTAGAGCTAGAGCGGAGCTACTGAAAGCTCCCACTAGAGATATCACCGCCCCCAAATTGGGAATGGCGATAGCAAATATGAAAGTTATAAATACTAGGACTGTCCTGGTGATGTATTCTGCTACGTCTTTGGTTTTCTCTGTCTCAAAGTGCTTTTTGATACTAGGCCATACGATGTTAAAAGGAACGTAGAACTGCAGGCTGTAAGAGAGGAAAATTGCTACGGCCATCATCACCCGAACAGATTGTGCCAGTCTGAAATAAAAATATTAAATTAATATTATATTCATTTTATTATAATTTCTATAAAACTGATGCTTATTTCGCTTCATTTGGCGCCCAACGTGAGGCAAGTTTAAAATTAGTGACTTACAATTCATCTGCAGGCAACAGAAGGGTGACGCTTCCTTGCACAGCCATATCTCCATATTTGAGGTAACCGAAAAATCCGACGCCCGTATACAGTGCCGCTACAATAACCATGCCAGTGTTAAGAACTCCCGTCGGACCACCGAAGTCTTGGGGGCTTTTCATGTTATTTTCCAAAGGCAAAATCTGGAATAAATAATAATTATTTATTAAGTTTCCCAATACCAGATAGGCAGATTTATATTTGCTTACCACTCCAATGCCTTCGAAGGCGTAGATAGCCGTTCCAAAGTAAAGAGGCAGTTGAGACCAAGACGAAAAGGCTCGCACTGAGGTGATACTCGGTAACCCGTGCAGCATGTAGAAGAATGTAATAACCAGTCCGCTGCATGTCACTATCGAAGCGAATAGTGACGCAGGGGTGAGATATTTCAAACTTTTCACCCAGTTGAGTAGTACCATTGGAAGGAGCAGCAGTAGGAGATACCAGTGGACGCTCATGTCGAAGAAGTAGTGTTTGACGACATCATGGATGTTGGCAGCGACGAAGACGAAGTATACGCAGCAGAATCCGAGTTGGGTGATGCAGAGGAAAACGTTTATTAATGTCCTGAAATTATAACATAAAAGATTATTAAAATGGGGTAATACTATTTACTACTTAGTATTAAATATAAAGAATCAGTGCTACGCATGTGACGTCACATCAGTGCTTCCAGATTAAATTTTCTTCATATTTATACCTATTTAAAAATTAATTTTGATTCTAACAGTTTCAAAATGCATAATGCTATGACTACTGGATACTGTAAAATTGTAAGAGCTTCTAAATTTTCAGCAAATTACGTAAAGGTTTAGGAACAAGTGATAAGATCAAATAATTAAATTTTTCGGTTTCTAATAAAGATAAATTATTATGGGAAAAGACTGTATATGTATTTTCAACTTTTGCAGTAATAGAATAATCAAATAAACTTACCTGGCAAGCTTCGCGTATTTCTGTATAGATTCCGGCCCGGTGGAAAACGCGCTCTCCACCACCTCCGCAAAGTTCAAAGACTGCTTCTTCGTCCTCCTGCACAACTCGTGCGAGCACCCCACCAACATGTGCATGCAATGGGCACAGACCAATCCCATGAACATGGTTCCGAAGAGCCCCACGACCCAACCGGCGTTCCTGAAGGCATCCGGCATGGCGAGGATGCCGGTGCCGATGTTGCCCTTGAGGAGGTGCACCATGGTGTCGAAGTTGGAGGTGGGGTGTTCCAGTTTCCTGTTGAAGACCGGGTCGTTCGATCCGGCGGTGACGTCATCTAGGTCTATGGAGGTGGACTCGCTCTGCTGGTCGCTGTCGAGGAGGCGCTGCTTCTCCTCGTACTTCTGCATGGCGGGCTTTGCGAGGATGGGCTTGGTTTCCTGAAATAAACAACGGAATTTACAACATACAACGCCAGCGGATTATGATATTATTTTAAAAAGTTATTAGCTTCCTAAGAACATTCTTTGACTTTATTTGATAAGATTTTTTAGAAAAAATGTCTAATTAGTTTTTAAACATAGGATTAAAATTTATTTCCTTTGGAAGCAACCGGTTTTTTCTATATGTGCATGCTGCGTAATGTCCCAAATTTTGTGGCATCAGCTTTAATTATACGAATCAAAGGTTTATCAAAACAGCAAATATCAAAGTATTCCAATTATCTTCAATCTTGCTACCTACAGATAAATTCTAACTGTGAATCATTTTTCTCAATAACTTTTTTTGATATTTATCTTTTCTTTAATCGGTAGTTATTAAATTATTAAGTTTTAAGGATAAAATCAACACTGAACATGTTACGTTACAGCTAGTGGAGACGAAAAATTGTTGCATGGTACGTGTAACAAATTTGACATGCGTAACTAATCTGGGACGAACCATCAGTTGTCGGTTTTTAGTCGTCGTATCAAAGGGTTGAAACAGTACTAAATTATATGATGAAGTAACATGTTCGTTGTTACGTTACGGAGCATTGCCACAAGTGGATACCCGCCTTAATACTGTAGCTGTTCTACTGTTTTTTTGAATTAAAATAAATGTTTATTCAAATTTCGATTACATTTAAACAAAAGTACATCTGTACAATTTTACATAATATCTAGATTTGTAGTATAGACGAACATTGTTTGATTTCATTTCATAATATTTTGAATTTATTTGAATTAGAATAATAGCAGGTACCTTTAGTTATACTACTGCATTAAATAGAACATCCTACATGAACCAAAAACTTTGTAATGAACACCCTGTAGATTTTTCAAACCTAAATAGAATGTGCAATTTATTCCATGTGTGTCCAAAAAGTTGGAAAGAGAGAAAAAATTTCGGTAACTGTTCAAATGTAGAAAATGTGGTATACATTTTGCTTCTCTTTGCGTAAAAATATAGTTGATTTTATCCTTAGAACTTAATAATACGCTGTCATATGTACGGGTATTCACATATCGTCTTAACCGTTGGTGTTAATGGAAACACAAAATTTTGCATGGACGTTTTACAATTCGATGAACGATTCTGCTTGGTTAAAAAATAAATTATTTCTTAAAAATGAAGTAATATGTTTTTTCCGTATATTTTGAAAGCTATTGGCGCCCCTACTTTGATCTTTCAATAGTCTATGATGTACAGGTAAAGCAATATGTTTTTTATAAAAGATCGGGAACTTTATCAGAAGCTCTCTATAAATAAAATTTATAATAATGCCCCAAATTTGATGGCAATCAGTTTTTATTTTACAAATCAAAGATTTATCAAAACAAACAATATCAAAGTAGATCTAATATGTATCTTCAAACTTGTTACATTGACATAAATTTTAATTGTGAATAATTTTTCTGAATAGGTGTATATATTTTTTGATATTTTATTTAAAATTCAAAGGATTGGTTTTTATCTATTTCTTAACTGATATTGTATTATGATCTTATTATGTTTTAAGGATAAAATCAACTACTATGTTATTAAACACTTAAATCTATATTAAAACCACAATTTTCTACATTTGAAAAGAAGCCGAATTTTATAACAATTTTTTTCTTTTTATAAACCGAGGCATAAAAAGTTTTCCCACTTTTCGACTCCATTCGCATATACATATATGGCATAATAATTTATTTATTTATTTATTTATTTATTTAGAAGTTATAATATCCAACGGGACAAAGTCCCAATTCCAGGAGAAGGTAAAACAGAAAGCCTTAACTAAATTTTAAAAGAAAAGGACAAACTAACATTAAATATAAAAATGTAAATACTACATAACATAGAGCAATCAAAATATAAAATCCAGACAAAGAACTTAAGGATAAACAATAACAGACAAATAAAACAAATAAGCTAACTAACATATACAAGATAAGAATTACATTTGCTAGACAAAGAATTTTTTATGTCATTCATAGATTGAAAAAATATATCAAGCCGATCTTCATACTTCTGGTAATTGGAAATCATTTGATATAGGGGAGATGCTATTAGTAAATTGGTACAAGGTGTGGGTAATTGTAAAACGGAGTGAAATCTAGAATTAAGTCTAGGAACATGATATAAAATCCTTGAGACTAACGAATCTGCATTTAACGTGTTATTAATGATTTTAAAAAGGAATATAATTGAAAACATAATTCGCCTGCGACAGAAACTATTAAAATTAAAACAAGAAAGCAATAGGTCTTGAGGTGTACCACGAGGAAGATAAAATCCATAACTAATAAAATGAATAGTCTTTAAAAATCTCTGTTGTACTTTCTCTAATTGAATACTATAAATACATATTATAAATGCGACTCCAAACAACCGATGCATATTCAAGTTTGCAACGCACAAATGCTGCATACAATATATGAAATTAGAACCTTTACGTTCTNGAGGCATAAAAAAGTTTTCCCTCTATTCGACTCCATTCGCATATACATATATGGCATAATAATTTATTTATTTATTTATTTATTTAGAAGTTATAATATCCAACGGGACAAAGTCCCAATTCCAGGAGAAGGTAAAACAGGAAGCCTTAACTAAATTTTAAAAGAAAAAGACAAACTAACATGAAATATAAAAATATAAATACTACATAACATAGAGCAATCAAAGTATAAAATCCAGACAAAGAACTTAAGGATAAACAATAACAGACAAATAAAACAAATAAGCTAACATATACAAGATAAGGATTACATTTGCTAGATAAAGAATTTTTTTGTCATTCATAGATTGAAAAAATTGTCAAGCCGATCTTCATACTTCTGGTAATTGGAAATCATTTGATATAGGGGAGATGCTATTAGTAAATTGGTACGAGGTGTGGGTAATTGTAAAACGAAGTGAAATCTAGAATTAAGTCTAGGAACATGATAAAAAATCCTTGAGACTAACGAGTCTCACTGCATTTAACGTGTTATTTATGATTTTAAAAAGGAATATAATTGAAAACATAATTCGCCTGCGACAGAGACTATTAAAATTAAAACAAGAAAGCAATAAATCTTGAGGTGTACCACGAGGAAGATAAAATCCATAACTAATAAAATGAATAGTCTTTAAAAACCTCCGTTGTACTTTCTCTAATTGAATATTATAAATACATATTATAAATGCGACTCCAAACAACCGATGCATATTCTTATCGTTCTCCTGTTTTTTGAACTAAAGTAAAGGAAGGAAGGAAGATTATTTAATACTTACAATTTACGAAAGATATTCACACTAATTAAACTAATGATAAGCAAACATACTGTTGACCTAACAATTGCACGGTTGTCAAAAACAATAAAATATTTGGAGAGGTAATACCGACCACGGTTGTCACATATGAATGTAGAAATGATATCACTAATATACCTAATTATTATTATATCTTAACCTTTACCTTTATATACTAGGTGTTGAGTATTTTCAAATTACGCATGCACTAGCTAAAGGTTCATTAACAAAAGAACCTTGATGTATTCAACATTCCGAATGTAGCAAAAGTAAACATTTTTATTCACAGCGACACGAAACAGATGCCGCCTTATCAGCAATCAAATAATCTAATCATTTGTGGGAGGTTCATATTAATGCGGTTTAACGGTTTTGCAAGCTGCGTTAATTCAACTTGGATTATAGAAATAGAAAAATTAATCAGTGCCGCCGCAATCACCCACTGGAAAAAATGGACATTCACCTCGAGTCTGGAGCTGATGCTTGTCAGTAATATTTGATTTATCAGGAGTACCCCAGGGGTCCCACTTGGGGCCTCCCATATTTGTCCTTAATTTAGAGGTACAAAATATTGATACAAATAATATACTTTTTTATATTATAAATAAAATCAAGCATATTATAGATTTGCCTGGATTTCAAATTTAACTTATTTTCGATAACTTATACTTAATTTTTAATTCTTAAAAAATGCTGAGTCCTTTTACTTACTTGTCATTGTTGTGTACAAAACCAACCCTCTACAAATATGTCCAATTTTACGTCATACGAAGACAAAGTACGAACCTGGAATGTACGATTTACTTTCGGACTTTAGAACAAAAAAAAAATTATAGTTATAATATTTATTTGAAAACAAAACAAACAAAAATTGCTAGTTTTCTCTACATAGCAAAGGAAAAAAGTGATCCTATCTCAAAAAAGTGACGCTGATCATAAAAAATTGTTCTCGCTCTAAAATTCATTACATTTCTATTAAAATTTCTGTGACTATTATTAAATACTTTTAGATAAATCGGACAAAATACGGAAACATAGTTATCTCACTGCGGCAGGAAATACTTATTGTATTACTGAGTGTTTCCTGTTTCTAACACATATATTGAGGTATTTTATACCTAATGTGGTTTCCAAAAAGTTAAGTTTGCATTTCCTGTTTCTTTTCTTAAATATGTCAGTAAACCAAACCTCAAGGTTAAGGTTAATATGTAGATATTCGAAAATTTGTGATAATAAAAAAAACGAGTCGAATCGCGTAACTTTCAATACATTCAACTTGTAGTTAGAACGGGGGGATGATATATCATTATCATTTTCTGTTGAAAAACATTTCGAAAGTCCCAATATAAAATAATTTATTACAAGCATGGCAAAAACCTGAAAGATGATACGGTATCGACAAAAAAATAAACAAATTGCATTCCAATATATTTTGTAACCGCAAAGTCTGCTAAACTCCGCAATCTTGTCGAGAGGTGAAAGGTTAACTTTGCAAAATCATTATTAATACGTATGTTACCAAACGCTGATATTTATTAATAAAAAAAGTGTAACATTCCAGTTTTATACATGACATATTTTAATCCATTCTTTTTTACAAAAAATTAGGCACAAATGTCAGATTTAAAGTACCTAAATAGATTTTTTTTAATATAAAAATTATTGAAAACTGCTGACTTTAATGTAGTAGAAAAGTAAATCAACTATACAGTGTTGCCGGTGATACATAAAGCTCTTAAACTGTAACTTTGTGAAATATTTTCATAAATATCTTTGTATTTATGAAAAATGTCTTTGAACTTTACATCGCGAATTATACCCGTAGTTGAAATATCAGTACACATTTAAAATTCACCCTGTTTAGAAAAGTGCCTGTATTTGGGTAATGTACTTTAAGTAACTACTATTTAAAATTAAAAATAAATAAATTTAACCTAAAAAGTGTGACATTTTGATCTCATATCAGCGTACTCTGTAATAACCAATGTGGGTACATGAGGTTGCTAAATGCTACTTTGTTTTATGATGATATATATTGTGTACAAAAAAAAAATTAAATAATTTTTGATAACCAAGTAAGTGGGATGAAGGTCATCGATATCACCTAGTATAAACTAATATTTTCGCGTGCCACTCTTTGCCCAGTTAGTCAGTTAAAAAATTATATGTATTGTATAAGCGTTAATAACGATTTTCAATAATTAAAAGACTTCTTCTATGTAATGAATGCTTATCTACACTGGAAATGATGATGATAAACCGACTCTCAGTTCTAATAAACAATAGACAGGAAATTTTCCAAATTGTCTGCAACAGACGATTTAATTGATATTATAAAACGTAATCAATTCATGTCAATAAAATATTTCATAAATATAATATACATATATCGAGATAGCTCTGCACGTGTTGTTAGATCTTTGCCTCGGAATAAAACAGTAACCCTGTACATCAAATACAAAAACAAGCAGAAATATTTAATGGTTAACGTTAGACTGATAATCAATAGGAATTACATACTTATAATTTAATTGTCAAAACTGAAAAATGTGAAAAAAAGTGCTTTAAATGTCGAGGCAAATAATACAGGACAGGACTTAATCCGTGTGACCCTGCCTAAAAGTAACAATAACAAAAATAATTTTTGAGTGATACAAGTGAAATCATGACCAAAATTAAAAATAAATAAATACCTACATAACTTCAAGCAATTTGTCTTTCTAAAAATATTTTGACATTAAAAAAAAAATACCATTAGAATTGTTGCATATTGACTCTGTACCTAGATAGGTATATGGTCACGAGAAGGCAAAGAAAAAGCAAAACAAAATTAATTGTTCGTTTGCTAGACATTTGAAAAATTTGTTAAAATTTCTAAATCAAAATTGACAACACCATGCATGAACTCAAATTTCTGTTATGCATAAGTATATCATTTTTTTATGCTTATTATATTGGTTGAAAAAAAGCTGTAAATAATTATTTACAAGAAAATGATAATTGGCAACCGTTACATATATTGTACTGCCAACTTAATCGACGACGAACTTACAAATTGTCCAGAATTGATAGTTCCATAGTCAGTCTTCATCTTGCACTCTGTGGATGGGGCAATTACCAACTGATCCTACACTGCAGACTGTCACCACTTAACTGAAGTAACCAACAGCCCTAGAGTAAGTCACTAGACCAATTCGGAAGACTGACAAATCTCCCACCACCCTTTCCACGAGATGATTGTATCCCGCATTGCTTATTTCTCTTTTGTTTATTTATATTTCATGCTTCGTCCGTAGGAATGAGATTCGCAATATTTTAATGATAAGTGGTTATCATATAGTTAATTAATTGTTTATCGCGTGTAATTTCGAGTCGTTACTTTTGACTTATCGAGTTGCCACACACTTTGGGGAAAAAAAATTGACACAGAAAAGTGCGCACTTTTTCAATCAAACTAGAAACCGCTAACAAATTATGCCACCCCTTCAATATGCCAATAGGAAGTTAGTGATTCTCTTCATTTTTAACTTAGTGACGTCACAAACGTAAAATAAAATTACAAATTAAAATGAAAGAAAAATTACTGACTTAAATATACTAATGCCTTCAACAAAAATATTTAGAAAATATTTATTTTTAGGAAATAAACAGAGACATTTTCTTTGCGCTTTAAGCAAACTACCCCATTGAGTTTTATACTATAATCATGGAATAAAATAAATCTACAAAACAAACACTGTTTATACTGATTTTTTAATAATAGAGTTCTCGAAATGTATTTATTAATTTTTCAGTATTTAATCTGCTTGGAAAGGTAAAAAAACTTTACAAAATTCCCTCTTTAAACTGCTTTAACAAAAATTAGTAGTTTTATTTTCTACAGAAAAATTTTCAAATTTGACAACGACTGTTTTTATTTTTTTTGTTTACTATTCTTCACAAAGTATGTATATAACTAATTCTCTGCGAAATCAACATTTATATTTTTTTTTTCGAGACTCACAGAAGACAAAATACTTGGAGCCGGACCAGCCACAATCTCAGCTTTTATGAAACGATAAGATAGCGACTCCATGAGGTGGCGCCAAGCGTCTACTACACGTTGTGTGGTAATTTACGTTTCGTTTAGGCCATTGTATATCTTCTACCTACTAGATGGATTTGGTGTACTAGACAGATTAAAACTTGCTTTTCTATACAATAACTGCCCCTGTAAATTCTACAACTGGCAATGAAGTAGTGGAAAGTTTTAGCTTCCAACTTTTCTTAAGGAATATTTACCTGCCTGCCATCTTTTGAAATATTCAAAGTTTAAATTTGGTACAGGTAAAAAGGTTATTGTTCTAGGTACCCTATAATATTCTCCTTAAAGAAATAAACACCTCCATAAAACTTTATGTCATATAAACATTTCAATGTTTGTATGAGTGAAATCATTCTATGAACATTCATTTGTGTTCAATTATTTTTGACGCTCAATTTAGCCAAAATCCAGGCTACTTGGTATAAATAGGGCAATGTATATATGTATATAGTGTGAGCCATTAATTTGGAATAAAAAAGGTTGGTTTATGAATATGTATACATATAATAAATATTGCTGCTAAAATTGTTTTCGTGTGGAAGACCACGTAATTTCTCTTTTCTTGGCTCCGTACAACAAATCTAAAGCAAGTTCAATGTAGGTCAAAAGTCGATACATTGGAAACTTCTTGTTTGACTACCCTTGTACAAGCTTTTGATAAAAGCGAATAACAAACAACTAAAGTGGATCAAAAAGTTTCCGTTGCCGAAGACAACGAAAGATGTTCTAAGCAAAGAATTTGTCGTATCAGTAGAACTTTTCCACTGTTTTGGTTATTATAAACGACTATACAGGGAATATTTGAAATTTATTTGTTATGTTTGTAAATAGACTTAAAATATTAAAATATATTTATAGATAAAGTAAACAGGTACCTACATAAAGGACAATCTTTTGTGTTGTAAGGAAAAATGATATAGAAACATATTTTTAGTATCCAAGGTATCGTAGATTTTACATCCTCCAATATCTTTGATTGCGTTTGTTGTCAATAGACATGTTAAAAAGCGATTATATACAGGGCGTCCTAATATTAAATAACCAGGGAGCTACTACAGTTTACTGCAATCAAAATGCAGATTTAACTTACCTCCATGCATCCTAAGTTGCGTCATTTAGCCGCTAGAGGTAATAGTTTTGGATTAATTATTTTTTTTATTAGATCATTTCTAATGCATTTTTGATTCAAACTTGAACTAATTACGTTATTTCAAATGTATTTTTTTTTTGATAATAAAACTGTTCTCACATAAGAATTAATCAATATGGGCACCTTCTTCTGTAATAGGTACATAAATGAATTCTATACAAAAATTAAAATGCACTCTTATTCTTAGTATTCCTTGATTCTGCAAATTGTGAACAGCATTTTCAATCCTGTTCCAGTAGTCTCTCACTATCGCTACTCACACTCTTTCAAGACCCCCAAATAAAAAAGTTACTCCGGTTCTCTTACATTGTGACTGAAGTACGAGGTAGTGCTCTATCATGTATAAAATACATGTAATTACGTAATTAATAGGTAGAACGCCAAACAATTCCTCCAGAGTATTAGTAATGGTCTGATAAAAACAATAATTAACCCAAAACTATTAAAAATACAACAACTTTATATTTAAGACTAAGAATAAGAATAAGAATAATTAAGAATAAGAAATGACCCTCGACAAAATTATGAGCATATTAGTTCAAGGGAGGGGGCATTTTTCACAGTTCTATTGATCCAATTATTTAATTTACTACCTATGTAATAAAGTGACATCTACAGGGTGTCCCTGAAAAGGATGGACAACGCTTGACCACAGGTTCCTTGGATGAAAATAAGACTACTTAGTCTAACTTACCTATATATAAAAATGCATGCCTACTGAGATATAGCCTTCTAAATATAGAACAGATAACCTAGTTTCTTTCAAATAATTTGAAAATTGTTTTTCTTAGAAATTTCAAATTTGGTATACATATTTTTTTATATAAGGGCAATGCAAATATAGAATTTGGTGATAATACATATACAGGATGTTCTCTTTCTAGTGCCTGTGTGCCACTGGCTATCCCTTAATTTTTTTGCGTGTACGTCAATGACGACAGAATTTATATTTTAAAAAAAGCACTATTTTAGAAGATTTTTTGCCTCTTACAAAATTTTGATATCGTTTATGGATTTCGAGTAAAATTTGCATTTTTTACACATTAAATAATATAAAATTAGTTTAAGATAAATAGAATAGTCTAGTACGAGGTGCCATATCACAAAGAAACAAATTCATAACAATAATTAAAAGGTTTAGTGTCAAGCTAGCTGTGATTTAATTTGTTTTTTACTGCAATTTATACTTTTGCTGAACAAACTGATATGTTATTAGTTTTTGGTTTTGGGTTATTGTGAAGGAAATTGTTGTGCTACCGTTCGAACATATGCTGAGTTTTCCTAATCGAAGAATTCCAAATCACAACTTTTAACTGTAACATTAAATCTTGGATAATGTACGGCCGGAACTATTCAGCTCGAGGAACAAATTTTGGAAAGGGTCGAAGAAATTCCTCAAATAAATAAAAGGCGTTTAGCGGCAGAGGTCGGCTTTCAAAAAGTTCCGTTAATAGAGAATTAAAAGACCAGTTATTACAGGTTACTATACTAACAGATGGATAGGTATAGGAAATAATGCACCTTTAAAATGGCCACCTCAATCCCCGGACCTAAACCCATGTAATTATTTCCTTTGGGAAGCGTTGCGGACCACAGTTTATAACTTTTCATTAAATACAGAAAACGAATAATGTGAAAGAATACAACATGAAATTAGTGTTATGAGAGGTAATGCACAATTATTGGATAAAATTCATTTTCATTTTCGAAGAACTAATGCTTGCGTTTAAGAACAAGGAAGTAACTTTGAGCATTTAGGTTTATTTAAAATGTTGATGTTGACTTTCTTACATTATTAGTTGATACTGTTTATTTAAAATATTAGTGTTGATTCTTATTTTATTGATTGATAACTAATACTAAAAATGTAGTTTTTTAATGTGACGTTTTTTTATTATTATTCCCTGTTTTGAGGCTGCAGTTATAAATTATTTTTTACAAATCGGCATTTTTGCCTTTATTTAATGTATAAAAAATGCCAGTTTTACTCGAAATCCATAAATGATATCAAAATTTTATAAGAGCAAAAAAATCTTCTAAATTAATGCTTATTTTTAAAAATATAAATTCTGTCGTCAATGGCGCACACACACAAAAAAGTTACGGCATAGCCAGTGTCGCACAGGCACTAGAAAGAGAACATTCTGTATATGTATTGTCACCAAATTCTATATTTACCTTGCCCTTACATAAAAAAATAAGTGTATCAAATTTGAAGTTTCTAAGAAAAATAGTTTTCAAATTATTTGAAAAAAAAACTAGGTTATCTATTCTATATTTAGAAGGCTATATCTCAGTAGGTGTGCACTTTTGTATATAGGTAGGCTAAATAGCCTTATTTTCATCCAAATAACCTGTGGTCAAGCATTGTCCATTCTTTTCAGGGACACCCTGTATATGTTACAATTTTACAAAGCGTTTCTAAGTTATTTGAAACAAACATTTTTTGTGTCATCTTTGATGCCCTCTAGCGGATAAACGATGCAACTTCGGATAGAGACAAGGTTAGTTAAATAATTCCATGTACACAGAATATCGCAGGACACGCCGTAAATAAAGTGCAACCCCTAATAACTAGGACCTCTTAAACTTTTTTGGAATGCACGGTGGTCTATGGCATGCACCATCCAGTTGGCAATTGAGGGCTTCTAAACATGGGCGTAGCAAGGGGAGGTGGCAAGGGTGTACAGCACATGCCCCACTCCAGCAGAAAAATATCTAATATTACTAATTATGTATAGTTGGACATCATTTGGAAATGGTGATAAGGACAAAGTTAAGTAAAAAAAATATCAATCAGTAGGTTTAAAATCGTCGCCCCCACGGCGGCAATAGTGTAAATTAAAATATTTTTTGTAGATTCAAATCAAAACATGTTCAAGGAAGTCGCTGATTACGAGAGCTTTTTTTCAAGCCTTCACTGAGTTTGCAGCCCTGGGCTCACCGGAAGCAAAAGTTGTAGCTACGTCCATTCCTCCAGCGATTTTTTTCATTTGCAGACATTTTGATTTTTAAACTGAAACTTCATAAATGTAAAACTTCAAGTTTGTTCAAAATATTCCGCATTACAAATCCATAAAGTTGGAGAAATAGGGGTTTCAAGTGTACTAAGAATTGTGTAGCAGTAGCTCCGACTTCTTTGTCTCCGTAAAAATAGGATGATGATATCACGGTCCAGCTGACACCGCAATTTCATTGAATTATTATCGATAAAACATAACAGCGTCTGTTTTGAAACGTTAATGAGGTCATAGTTTTTAAAACATTATTTAGTAATAACTGCTTTATCAAGTCAAAGTTTATCGGAGAGGTGGATTCCTGATTCGCAGGGACCATATCAGCCGGTTTTATTTGTTAGGGTAGTTTTCCGCGCGTCCCGTCAAGGTCAAGGTACGGCCGATAATGTAGGATTTAAAAGATTTTTTTGTTTTATGTTATGAGCATAATAATTTCGTAATGAAGACAAAAATTACTGGAGCTGCTCTTCCTTTGAAAGAATTGCGTTGCAAGTCGCAAGATGATGTTTGATTGATGTCGGGGACATTTATTAATCAATTATTTTTAACTCACTTTTGAATCACGGCAATACTTTCAGAGATTGAAATTTGTATTTTCAACAGAAAATGACCGTACAGATTTAAAACTAGGTAAATACTACAATATATTTGCAAAAATAAAAAAAAGATGTGCAATTATTACTTTTAATATATAGAAGAAAATAAACCAAAGTATTCTTAGTTTAGAAAGTTCACATATTTTTGTTGCTCCTTGTGGAAAAGAATTTTGATAGTGCTTATATTTTGAACAAACAATACTTTATTTTATGCAAAACAATATTTGCAGACTTGTTTAACTGGTTGCCTATATCTTTACCTCAAATATAACGAAATGAAATTATTTAACAATAGCAAGAGACGTATACAAAATACATATATTTTATATAAATCTTTTTCTTTTTCCTTAACTGCATTTTTTCAGACCTCGTGTCTACAAAGTGTAAAACAATAGACTAATAAATATTCATTATGTAAAGTACCTATTTAATTGTAGTTAGTGATAAATTAAGCTTAGCACTGATTACAGCTTAATATTTGCGTAATTATAAATTACTACAGCAATGTAATCCTTATCGCAATCGTTAATTGTTGACACACAGTTTAGTTTAATGTCTGTGATTTAATATAACTTCTATATATACAGGGTGTTTTGCTTAAAAAATGTAGCAAGATGCATTCTAAATACAGCAAGGAATATTTGAAACAGCATAATATTCATAAAAGCAGATTGTCAATAATTGCACTTATCTCTTTTAGATCCACTGCTGTATACAGTAAGGACAAAAACAGTGAATTGGATTTTAAGAAAATAATTTTTGTACAATTTCTGTTCAAAAGCAGCCAAAATACTGAAGCGACTACTAAGGCCTCAAAAAGTGCTTAGCTAAGCTATTTACTATCAAATATAAGGTGAAAAGCTACTAAATATTATACCCAACATGCCAACAAGTTAAATAAATGGAGGTTAAGGGCTTAGAAAAATATTCATAATATATTATTCATTTATTTTAAAAGTATATACTTACATAAACATGGTACAAACTTGCTTTCGAGTTACAGAATAGGCATCACTTTTATATATTAAATATATTATATTGTTGAATGCGACAACTTTATAAACATTACAGATACATACGTTCTAAGTACAGGACTTGATACTCGATTATGGGCTTATTTAAGTTAAAGGAAACTGCATAAAAGGAGGCTACAATTTATATGATATCGTGGTATTTACTCAGTTGAAGCATTTGCAACTTATAGAGTTGACTAATAAAAAAAGGGACAGTATGAATCTTGTCACGATTCTTATGTACTCACACAGCATTTTGACTAGAAACAAATTAAATCTATATTTCCGTCATACAATTTGTGGCCTCGGAACATGCTGCAATGTATTTTACACCACATGAATATATAAACTGAACAAATCTTTTGATATCTGTTAAGAGTGCTTCATTAGAAAACTAATGCGTAACAAAATTTATGACAAATTTCAGTTTTGGACAAGAAAAATAAGAACACTCAATTTTTGTCAAAGAAATATTTTTATATCCAAAAGCCATTTTGTGATTATTTAAAATCAAAAATGTATTATTTATTTGCTTTGATATTATATCCATAGGAAATTTGTTCAACAGAAAATTAATTTTAAATTCCAATATTATGCAAATCTGAAATATCTACATATATTTAATCAATATGTACTTAGGTAGAGTATTATTGCAATAAAAAATATGTACAAAACACATTTTAAACCTTTATTTCCATATTTATTACTTGAGAATACAAAAATGTCTAGTAAATTATATATTGCAATAAATTTTCATAGAACAATTAGTTTGTATTGTTTTTTTGGTTCCTCAACCATTCAAAATATCTGCCACTTGAGTTTTCTTTTTTTTTAATTTTAACACAATATACAATTTGTACAAAAAACGTATTTATTAAAGCCTTAAAAATCTCACAAAATTTAACATACGTACAAGGCAGTTCCAACAGAACAATAGGTATATATTTTAAAAAACTTTTGTTTGTACAAAAATTTGTTATTAGTTTTAAGATAATTTTCTTGTATTACAGTGGATTTTTGGTAACCTAGTGCTTGATATATCTGACTTGATCAATAAAATGGCACAGTAGAAAGATGTATTCCTAGAATTAATGAACTGAAGCAATTTTTTGATGGAGATCTTCCAGAGACGGTTTTTATGTTTAATAGTGGACACTTTGTAAAATTAAACATTGAGATATTTCAAGAATTCTATGTATTTTTAATTTAAATTTAAAAAAGTACCTCAATACAAAAAAGCACCGAGTGAAGTTAGATTAGGAAAAAGGTGTCGATTATTGTCATATTTTTGTCATTATTAGTATAAAGCTTGTGTATAAACATTTATAATCATAATTTAGTGAAAAAAATAAATGAGTCACTTTATAAATGAATTGTATCTTATAAGTAGTGTTGTAAAATGCTTATTTTTCGTACGAGAATAAATAAACATAATTTATCATTGTTTACATATATACAGAGAAACATACTTTCCTCCATAAGTTTTTAATACATTACCCAATAGCACCGTTTTACTTCTCAAAGGTTTAAAAACGAAATTGAAATCATTTTCAAGAGAATCTGTTATACTATGGCTGAATTTTCAATGATAATCTAATAATTTGTTTTTAATGTGTCTTTTTAATATTATTTTATTGTGCCTTTGCGTTTGTTTGTTTTTACAGTGTTGTTTAATATACTCCTTTTTAATATTCTGTTAATATTAATTCTTTATCTTTTAGTGTTTATTTTTTTTTTCTATTTAATCTCTTTAAATGATTTTTTACTATTGCTACTGTCTAATTAAGTTCTACTGCCCTATTCAATGTTGTTTTTGGACAGCATGTATGTTATGTGCATTTGAACTCAGTATAATATTTCTATCTATCTCTTTACAAACGTGAAGGACTCAGAAATTTATGATCTACATGACACATAAACTAAAGAAATATGACATTTTTATTTTTTGAAAAAAATTGTTTATTATTGAAGATTCTCCTGAAAATGCTGAATAATCTCCGATATTTTATAAAAGTACATAGTTACCAAAGTGATATGTGCCGTGAAAATGAAAAGTCCTCCTTTTGTGTTACCAAAGAGAATGTCTTTGCAAAATGGTCTTTTCGTTCACGTATTCGCTTTTACAACACTAATTCTAGGCACAAAAATACTACAGATAACACTAAAACGATTATTAGCATTTATTTTTCCACCACAAAATCCACTACAATACCCCACACCCCAGGGGCATGGCTAAAGCGGAATAAATTACATCAGTACATTAAACTCCATACAAAAACCCGACAAATCACATAGTTAGATCACGTTATCACTCCATATAACGGCCCTCCTCGACCGATCCACCCCTGCCAGATAAGTGGCAAACGGGCACCAAGCAGTTGCCGTGACGGCCGAGCCGTGCTCCTTGAGAATCTTCTCCACCTTGGCGCTGGCCACACCCCAGATGTAGACGCTGCCGTCTGCCGACCCCACAGCCACGTACTGCCCGTCGGGACTGAACGTGGCCCTGTCCCAATCGCAACTCACTTTGAAACCCTCACAACTGAACACAGTCACCACTTGGTTCATTCTCAGGTCGAGTAACTTCAACGTATCGTCTCTCACGCAGCATACAAGATATTTAGCGTCCTTCGTCAGATCTAGAGAAGTCACTTTGCCGTTCAACACGATGTTGTCAGCGCTGGATTCTGACCGGCTGTCCCAGAATCGTATGCTCTTATCAAAGTGGCCGCTTATTATTATCGATGCGGTACTGTCAACCGTTACCACGTCGTTGCAGCTAGAACCAGCAAATTTGGTTTCTATGCAGGCCCTGCTCTTGAGGTCCCAGATTTTGAGGGTTCGGTCGTGGCTGCCAGTGACGACTTTTGATGCATCGCCTAGAAATTTAGCTGCCATCACTTTCCCGGAATGACCGGTCAGGGTGTGTCGTAGTCTTTGATCGCCGACAGTCCATACTCTCGTAGCATAATCGTTGGAAGCGCCTAAGATTAAAGTGCCAGAAGAATCAAAATCAACAGCCATTACACCTGCATTGCTTCCAACGAAGGATCCTTTACATTCACTGACGCCCTTGGAGACGTCCCACAATTTCAGTTTTCTATCGGCACCACCCGTGGCAACAAGACGGTCCACAGGGTTCCACTTAACGGCGCTAACTTCTCCTTCGTGTGCGTCGAATTTCACCGTTATTCTTGTCGGTAAAGTAAACTCGCACAGCGGAGGTCCAACACCTTCGACTAGTTGTTCAGGGGAGGTTCCGCGAGTTTCTTTGCAAGCTTCCTCAATTTCTTTTTGCATGCGTTTGTAACGGTTACGGAGGAAGTTGTCGTTCTCTTCGTTCATCCGATCCGCATCTTTGGCTTTGTATTTTATTAACCGTTCGACAAGGTGGCGGTTTTCATCTTGGATCTTCCGCAATTTCTCCTCAATAGAGGAAAAGGCAAGTTGCAACGCTTGATGTTCATCTCTCAAAGTATCATTTAGGTATTTTAATTCTTTGTTAGACTGCTCCAACAAGGAAACCTCGGCTTGTAAACTAATAATTTTTGCGGCATTGTCAGCCAAAGTTATGTCTTTTGTGGCTAGTAATTTCTCTTTTTCCTGCAACAATGCATTTAAGTCTATTATTTGCTGCGAGTTTTCACCTTTCCTCCTATGCAGCTGTGTTAATTCTTCAGCATTAGCTAACAGTTTTTGTTCCAACTGTTGTATTTTTTCTTGCAATCGTAAGTCACTCACGCTTGAACTGTTCGCACCTAAACCGCCACCTTCTGTTTTCAATTTCTCGTTTTGTATAGACAACTGCAAATTTTCCAAGTAGAGTCGATTTGAGTTATCAAAGACTTTGTTGTGTTGCAATATCAGATCCTGAAAGAGCTTTGTTTCAGTTCGATTCCTTTCCTGCAACTGGTTCAGTATACTGTCCCTCCAGTCGCACTTAAGCGGTGCAGTCATTTTAGAAATACTCACTTATAAACCTCACACATCGAGTCACATTTAACACTGTCCAATTAAGGTAGGCATAATTGGATCTAGAACAAATTGAAAAGAATAAGTTGCTTTCGAAAAGCTCAGGTCCACATAAATTGTTTTCACAGTCACCGATCGCGAATGTTAAGAAAATTTACTATAAATTGTTCCTAATTCAAGAGTTCTGTTTGCGGTAGTTAAAATGTAGAAATTGACCAGCAATATGAAGGTTGTATTTTGTATTTACCTCTATGCAACTGCATACTTTTGTACAGATATACTGCTCGTGCAACTGGTAAATCTCGCTAAACATATCCATGCAAAATCATGCGACACAGTTACAGAAAGTTAATAATTACGGATAGAGCCTTCATCGGCACTTCAGAACTCATTTTGACGATTTTATTTCTCTCTTGAGACACTGAAAAAAAGCAAGTAAGTACGGATCTGTTCTAACCTATAACAATTTTTTTTGTTTTTTCACTTTTTATATTGGTATATTATAAAAAATTCTAGAAGCAATTATAAATTATATTTGCGTATTTACATTAATTTTCACATAAATCGTTATTGATTAGATGACTGTTACTGGTAATTTAACGTGTTAAAATAATACAAAGCAAAGTTTGAAGATATTTACACTAATTTTGAAAATTAAATTGGGGAGATTTTTTTGTACTTACTAAAATCACTTTAATTTAAAAAAACATTTCTCCCAATGACAACAGCACACAACGGATGGGAGCGCTTGATCTGTCATTTAGGTTCGGTTCACCCATTTTTACTTTGGACCACTGAACTGTTCTATATCAGAATTATAGTTATTTCCTCAGACTAATAAATTATTACTCTGAGGTTATTTCCAATTTCAAACAACATGATCCAAGAAAACGAAAAAATACCAAAAGAAGTAAACATCGAACTTATTTTAAGTTGCATTGATATCAGATTAATTATTTTACGACACGGCGTTTTAAATTTGACTAACATGTATTACACAAAATAAACAGGTCAACAGGAATTTTGTAGCATAAAATTAATTTATAAATGTCGCCACATTGGGATTCAAATAAAAACATTAGTAGCTTTCCAATTGATAAAAAATGTACTTCGGAAGCAATTCAGATTAGCTTTTTGCGTTCCAATAAGCTGTAACATTTTACTCTTAAAGTGTCCCTGTCAATGTTGCCAGATATACCATTTTTATGGTATTTATACCATTTTTTCACCTATCATACCTATAAGTTTTTTGAGGATACCATTTTCCATTTTTCTACCATTTTTTGGCTGCAGATACCATCTTCCTACCATATTTTTAACTGTACATTTTTTATGTAGGTATTAACGAAACATGGCACATCACTATTCTGACTTTATAAAACACGTAGGTCATGCGTTAAACTCGATTGCTGGATACATATTTGTTTATCTTTTAGTAAACAATTTATAAGATTCTTATAATTTAGCCGAATTATGGGGGATGAAAAAAAGAAACGTGCCCCACGTATGACAAAAAAAACAAATCCAATTGATTTTTTAGAAGTCATCAATATTTTGATAAACAACAAATTGAAGCCACATTAAACTGCGATTGCAAATAAATCTTGGAATGATTTAATTTGAACGGCCATTAATTATAAATAATAGACATCAATTATACCATTTGTCAAGCCAGGTTAATTTTTAACAGCATCTATTTTGGTCCCGCTAAATTTTAACAGATTTTGTTAAAATAAACCCATTACAATTTTTATAGAATACACTTGTTAAAAATTAACCAAAAGCATTGCAGAATAGACCCGTTTTTTGTTGCTTAAATACATGGTTTAAAATACAAATTCAATATTACTGTCGTTTTTTTACTTATTGATTATGTGTAAAACCTTGTTATTTTAGTGTTATCAAGATACCATATTTGTCAGTAAAATACCATTAATTTCAAGTGTCGGATACCATATATATTTTTTTTCATCTGGCAACACTGG